GGTGTGGCGTGGCAGCGCCCGGCACGACGGGGCCCTGATCTCGGTCACTGTGGGTCTGGGCGGCGCCCGGCACAACGGGGCCCTGATCTCGGTCACTGTGGGTCTGGGCGGCGCCCGGCACAACGGGGCCCTGATCTCGGTCACTGTGTATCTGGGCAGCACCCGGCCCGATGGGGCCCTGATCTCGGTCACTGTGTGTCTGGGCAGCGCCCAGCATGTCGGGGCCCTGATCTCGGTCACTGTGTGTCTGGATGGCGCCCAGCACGACAGGGCCCTGATCCCCATTGTGTGGCTGTTACTGTCCATGTGGGCTTTGCATTGAGAGACCCAGAGAGGTGTCTGCCCTGCGCTCACTGAATCTGTCCCCTCCTGGGCCCCCTAAAATGAGCTCCCTGCCAGCGGTTGTCCTGCCATGGGGCAGCCCCCAAATCCCTTGGCTCCTGCCCGGCCCATCCGCTGCCCTCTGTGTGCCCTGGGAGGGGATGAATTCACCACCTGCTGGGCGGAGCCCGTCTGAAAGGGGAACAAGGCTCGCAGTCACCAGCTGCTTCCCAATGGCCTTTCGGTGGCCGCCGTATTCTCTGCTCCGCTGGGGCTTGGGAGCTCGGTTCCCAGTGACTAAGCGCCCGGTTCAGGAGCTGCCACTTCCCCAGTTGCCATTTTCACCCCATCAGTCGCCATCAGGGGCAGGGGCCGGGATTTCCTTCCCCTCCACCTGGGCCTCGCTCTAGTCCCCGCAAGGCAGTTCAGATCCCTTTGTTCTCTCTGGCCCCATCTTTCCCCTGTTTCCCTAGGTGGGAGCATTTGCCCTTGGGTGGGGCGAGAGGCCTGGGAGTCAGGACTCCTGGGTTCTCTCCCCTGCTCTGGGAGGGGAACGGGGGCTAGTGGGTTAGAACAGGCAGGCTGGAGTCAGGATGCCTGGGTTCTCTCCCCAGCTCTGGGAGGGGAACGGGGGCTAGTGGGTTAGAGCAGGCAGGCTGGAGTCAGGATGCCTGGGTTCTCTCCCCAGCTCTGCAAGGGGAGCGGGGGCTAGTGGTTAGAGCAGGCAGGCTGGAGTCAGGACTCTGCCACTGACTTGCAGTCTGGCCTTGCCCAAGTCACTTCCTCTCTCGGTGCCTCAGTTTCCGCAGTGGGGGTATTCACACGCCAGGCGCTCTGGGATGCTAGAGCTGGCCCCAGCACCCTCGTCCCTACTCACCTCATCTGTGATCTGATCCACGCGGCGCTGCATCTCCTGCGACTCGGGCCCCACTGTGCCATTGGCTGCCATCCTGCAGGCTCCCCGGCGGAGGGCGAGTGCCTTCGGGAACTCACAGGGCACGGGCTCCGCTTACGGCCTCTCCCGGATCACCTGCAGGGGGCGACGTAAAGCAGCTACACTTGTGTCCAGAGCCCTGCAAGTGGCAGACGAAGGCTGAGATTTCCAGCCTAGGGGGCTTAGACACATCACCCATGCTGGAGGTGTCTAAATCCCCTAGGCCATGGGGCAACTCTCCACCAGGGTTTGTATACAAATCCTATTGGTTGGTGAGCTCAGCACAGTGTCTAGAGCTAGAAGGGACTGGCATTTATTTATGGAGGGGTGTGTGTCCTGGATGGATGGATGAAGAGTGATCAGAGGTGTTGGGGGGGAGAAAGGGGGTCCCTGGAGGGATGGAGGGGACAGCTGGGTTGGGAGGGATGGAGGGGGGATCACAGACAGATGGAGAAAGATCAGGGGGGAAAAACATATGAAGAGAGACTGAAATGACTGGGAGTGTTACATTAGAGAGGCGTGAATAGGAGGGGACATGAGATATACTGTGCCCAGGAGAGAGAAGGGAGCTTGGGCAGGGACCCCCCGTCTCATCACTCAGCGACAGGTGATGGAACTAATGTGGGGATTCAAACCCAACACCAGGAAATGCTTTTCCACACGAGGCATCCACCTGCGGAACTCACTGCCACCGGATGACGCTGAGGATGGAAACTTAATGCAACCAACACCACCTCTGGGTGGCGCTCGGTCGCCCTCTAGTGGTGGCCACATGCGGGCGATTGAGCCTGCTAGAGCCTTACTTAAGTGAGCAGGGACTTTTAGCTCAGACAGGAGACGGAGCGGCTCACGCATTAAGATCCAGAAGTCGCTGGTCCCAGCCCCGCTGCCGACAACCCAGCGTCACACGGGCAAGAGTCAAAAAGGGGGCAGACTTTGATACGGAGAACAAGAATCTGCCGGGGCAGGAGAGTTGAGGCCTCATATAGGGTGACCAGACAGCAAGTGTGAAAAATCGGCTCAGGGGGTGGGGGGGTAATAGGAGCCTAGATAAGAAAAAGACCCCAAATCGGGACTGTCCCTATAAAATGGCGTAGGCGTCTGCTAATTGAAAACGTGCTGAAATGCAAGTACAGAGCAGGCCTTTGGGCTCCATATTATTAAAGCTAAGTGTGAACAAGAGGGATGAATAGAAGCGAGGCAAGACGTGACCTGTGGGGGGGCGTTTCTGGCCGGTGTTGTGGGGGAATTCGGGGGTGTCTCGGAACAGTAGCAACTGCAGCATTTGCATCGACACAAACGAGAATTCAAACGATGTTGGACGACAGCCAATAAAGAAGTAGGCAATATTTGGGGGCCCGGCTTAAATACGGCAGCCAAAATACAGACTGGGTCGAAGGCAGGTTTAATTCATGAAAGGGTGTTGTTATAATTGGCTAGGGAAAGGCAGTACCCTGGTTTTCGAGCAGGGCACTCGTCTGCATCGGGGTGCTGTTAGCCAGAGGATTTTCGGTCCATTCTTCACGGCCCGGGACCGATGACGGTGAGTATCCACGCAGGGGCTGGTTTGATTGTAAGGGCTGTTTGCTTTCACTCGTGATTTTTATTTTAAATCAACTCTTTAATTCTCTCTCTCACGGTGTCCTTCACAGCCCTCCCCGGAATTCAATGGAAGGCTCCAACCATAAAGAGTTGAATTTGAGTTTGGTTCTGTTCCTTATCTGGAAACGATTCATTGGGAAGGAGTAAATCCAGACAGGGAGAGAAACCTCCCGCTTCAGGATTTCCGCTGATCTCTGTGAGAGGTCGGGGTGAGGGGCAGACTGTCCCACGTCTGCTACTGCTGGGTTCTGACCCTTTCCTCTGTTGCAGCCCGTGCTGGGAGTTGTCGGAGACGGGAGACCAGGTTAGATGGGTTTTGACTCTGTTCAGCTAGCATCTAGATGCCCTGATCAGGGATCAAGACCCATTGTGCCAGGCGCTGCACAGACCCCGACCGAGATCAGGGCCCCTGTTGTGCCGGGCGCTGCACAGACCCCAACCGAGAACAGGGTCCCATTGAGCCGGGCACTGCACAGACCCCGACCGAGATCAGGGCCCCTGTTGTGCTGGGCGCTGCACAGACCCCAACCGAGAACAGGGTCCCATTGAGCCGGGCACTGCACAGACCCCGACCGAGATCAGGGCCCCTGTTGTGCCGGGCGCTGCACAGACCCCGACCGAGATCAGGGTCCCATTGAGCCGGGCACTGCACAGACAGAGCGAAAGACAGTCCCTGCCCCAAAGAGCTAAACAGACAAAGGAAGGGCTGTTTTCCTCATTTTACAGATGGGTAAACCGAGGCACAGAGCACCGCAGTGACTGGTCCGTGGTCACCGAGGGAGTCTGTGGAAGAGCCAGGAATCGCCTCCAGATCTCCCGCGTCCCATCGTTCCTCAGAGCGCCTTTCACACTCCCTCTGTATTTGTCTTTCGTTGTCCCTGATCAGATTTTCGCCCCTGTCTGTTTCAACCCGCCCACCCACCCCGCATCTGAAGCAGACCCCGGCACTGCTAGGGCCAAACCCACAACACTGACGTGGGTCAGAACCAGGCCAGAACCCCAGCCCCCTCCCGCCTCGCTGCTAGATCTAAATCCGCTCCCCTAAGGTCTCATGCTATGCCAAGATGCTCAGGTGTTACTTCGCCTCTGCTAATGTATGGAGAGAGTTTTGCCAAATACCCTCCCCACTCACAGCCACAACACGCCCCCTTTCCTGGGTGGCAGGGGGAACCAGTGACAGGCTATTTTTAACGTGTCTCGCTGGGGAGGTGGGGGGGCCGACCCGCGCCACAGGAGCTGTTTGCACACCTCGCAGCGCACAACAAGCGAGCAGCTGCAATCCGCTGCCTCCTAATGAGGGCTCTGCGGCTGGTGCCGGGAGAGGAGGTGGGGCAGGATGACAGGGGGTGTCAGCCCAGGGGCTGTGCCTCCCCGGCGGGATTACTACAGGCCAGGGAATATGGAGCGGAGGCAGAGCCTGGAGAAAGGCATCCTCACATCTGCCCGGGAAGCCCCTTGCTGCAAACAATGACGCGGGTGTATCAAGAGGGGGCGCTCTTCCTTCCCAGTACTGAGCCCAATGGGGCACTAGGGGGCGCTGTGCCGCAGGGAGCGGGGATGGGAGCTCAGTAGGGGGCGCGCTCTCCTCACATGCATCTGACGAAGTGGGGATTCACCCACGAAAGCTTATGCTCCAATACGTCTGTTAGTCTAGAAGGTGCCACAGGACCCTCTGTTGCTTTTTACAGACCCAGACTAACACGGCTACCCCTCTGATACGTCTCTCCTCACAGTCAGTGCTGACCACAATGTGACGCTAGGGGGCGCTGTGCCGCAGGGAGCAGGGTGGGGGCTCAGTAGGGGGCGCTCTCCCCTCTCCGTGCCAGCCCCTGTGCGGTGCAAGGGGGCGCTGTGCCACAGGGAGCAGGGTGGGAGCTCAGTAGGGGGCGCTCTCCCCTCTCCGTGCCAGCCCCTGTGCGGTGCAAGGGGGCGCTGTGTCACAGGGAGCAGGGTGGGGGAGCTCAGCAGGGACTCCCGGGTTCTGTTCCCCATTTGGACAGGGAGTTTTGCCTAATGGTTCAAGCAGGTAGGAGCAAGACATAGGCCGCAGAGTGGCGCCTAGCGGTTAGAGCGGTGAGGACGGGGTGGACACGGACTCACGATGACTGCACTCAGTTCCGGCCTCTGCCACTGATGTGCTGTGTGACCTTTCAGGCAAATCCCAGCCTTTCCTTGTGCCTCGGTTTCCCCAGCTGTAAAACAAGGCTCCTACGGCCCTCCTGAGAGGAAGGGCAGGGGAGGCTGAAGCGCTGAGAGAGATCCTTACGGTGAAGGGACAAGAGCATCGGTCTTAGTGTGTTATGCCATTGCTGCCCATCCCCATAGCATCTGGGCGCTTTCCGCCGTCACAGCGGTAGCAACAAACTCAGCCGCAGCCCCGAGGCGCGAGGGCCAGGCCTCAACTTCCGGCAATGACTCAACCACCTGATGCGCTGTCTGCTCTCTGGGGACGTGAGCCGGAGCACCAGCCAAGCGCCCCCTCCACTGGCTGATTGCCAGGAAAATAATAAACACCCCAGGTCTGCGTGAGGCGGGGACGGACCGGCCTGCAGCCCGGGGTCGATTAACCCTTGATGAGACCCCGCCTCCATCCCATCCCCGGATCAATCCCCTCCTACCAGGCAGACCTCCCTCGCTCCCTACTACGAGCCAGGATCTACCTCTCCGCGGCAGCAGGACCCTCAGATGGGACCCCCCACCCTGTCACCGGTGATGGGACAGGACCGTGTCCCTTCTTCCCCTCCCCCCCCCAGCATGTGGGTGTCTCCTGAGTTATAAAGGGAGTCCACGGAATCTCGGGGTCTAAATAGGGGACCCCAATGGGGCATTTTTAGGGTGGCTTGGAGCTCAATTTCGCTCCTTCCACAATCCAACGGAGCTGCTTCAAATAACGCCTAATTAGAGGCAGTGAACCTTATGCAAAGGTTCTCCCAGCAGGGGGCGCTGTGGGGAGCAGGGCAGGAGCTGGGTGTGGGCAGAGCTCTCGGCTACTCCAGTCCCAGCCTCTCCCAGCAGGGGGCGCTGTGGGGAGCAGGGCAGGAGCACTACATGTGGGGAGAGCTCATCATTATAGATGAGCAAGTGTGGGCGGGAGAGGGGCTTAGAGTCAGTACTCCCAGGAGTCCCGGATTCTCCTTCCAGCTCCCACACAGATTCACTGGGTGACCTTGGGCAAGTCCCTGCCACGCTCTGCGCCTCAGTTTCCCCATCTGTAACATGAGGAGTATAGCACTGGGCAGAGCCGGGAGGAGCTCAGCGCTCCTTGGATGAGCAGCGCCAGCGAAGGGCACTGACTCGCTGTGGTTCTAAACTGCCCTGCACTGTAACTTCCGCTGAACACATTATCCGTCGTGCGGCGACTCAGAGACCATCATCCAGGGATCTCAGAACGCTTTAGAGATGTTTCTGAATCTCCTGTGAAGGATCATTATCCCCATTTTACAGGGAGGGAAACTGAGGCACAGAGCGACGGGGAAGGTCACAGCCAGCCAGTGGCAGTGCTGAGGAATAAAACCGAGGACCATGAATCCCCCCTGCTCTAACTCACAGACCACCCCTCCCCTCCCAGAGCTGAGGAAAGAACCCAGGAGTCCTGGCTCCCAGTCGCCTGTTCTAACCAGTAGACACCCCTCCCCTCCCAGAGTTGGGGGTAGATCCTAGGAGTCCTGACTCCCAGTTCCCCCACCCTGCTCTAACCACTACTCAGATCTGCAAACTAAGGAAACCACCCTTGTAAACCCCAGACCTGAAATTTAACTGGGCCGCCCTGTGCTTTGGCCAGACCGCACCTATGATCCCCATACAACATTAGGACCCAGGAAGGACCAGGGCAAAGGGCCTGGTTCCAGCTCTGCCACTGATTCATTGCATAACCTTGGGCAAGTTACTCCCTCTCTCCGGGGTCCATCTCCCAGCCCCACAGACCGGCTCCCAGCCGGCGACACGGGTCCATTTCACACGTAGCCAGATGGAAAGCCGGCTCCTTTGTAAGCGGCCACATTTAGGGTTTGATCCTGTTGCGTGCCAAGTCCCCCCTGCTCTAACTAGTTCCAACTGTCTCCTGGGTGGCGCTGAGAGCCCCTCTGCTCCTGCTGAAATCAGCGAGCCGCAGGCTGAGTGAGTGGGGGGTGCTGGGCCCACGGCAGGATCAGGAGCTGGGGAAGCACATGGGACTGCCCTGCCTACGGGAAATACGAGCTGTGTCCCCAAAACCGAACATTCGAAACTGTTCACGGAATAACAATTCCAAACACGTCCATTCGGGAACTTCAAAATGACCCTGTGGGACAGATTTGATCCCGTCCAGACATGACAGTGCAAATGGGAATCGTCAACAGGAAAGCGCTACATGATCGTATTTATGTTGGGATCGTCTTTTTGTTCTGGGTCTGTACAGCGCCTGGCATAAGGGGGGCCTGATCCAATACTGGGATGCCAAGGTGCTACCATAAGACACCTAATAGCAACACAAATGTACAGGGGCTGAAAAGGACCAGCCCAGAGGAATGATCCAGATGGAAGTGTGAGGCTGGGAGGGGGGTGGAGAGAGAGGTTGACCAGCCCCCCTCCCTCCTGCCAGCCACAGACTGCCCCACCCTTCAGACCCCCACCCCCCCTGTCTGGAATCTTCATGGACCCCATCTGCCCAGGCCCCCCGAAGCCTCCCCCAGAACCCCCCATCTCCCCTTTCTAGACACCCCAATTCTCTCCAGACCACACCCTCCTTTCTCCATCCTCCTATCCAGACCCTCCTCCCAAGACCCTCCACCCCTTGCCCAGATCCCCTCCCACTGCCCCATCCAGCCTCCCCTCTACAGACCCGCCCCCATCCCTATGGCCGGGAGATCTGCAGCCCCCGCCCCAGAGGAGGGGCTCCCTCCCCTCTTACCTGTTGCTAGTTCGGTTCCAGGATCCCTGTTCTGCGTCTAGTCGCAGCAGCTCAGTGCTTCTGCTCCTCTGGGAGAGGGGTGGGGGGTTTGGCCCCACCTCTAGGGTTGCCCCCATTGGACAGTTGGCCTGATTGGCAGCTCAGGATGCTTTCCCATTGGCTGCCAGCAAAAGGGGGTCGGGACAGGGTGGGTTAAGAGCCTGAGGCTGGTACCCACCCACCCACCTGAGGATGCTGTTACCAGGGGCAACCTCCAGCCTCTGACGTTAGCTGGGGAGCAGGGAGGCTGGAGATGGCGACTTGGCATGGTAACCCCGGGCAACATGCCCGGCAACTTGCATGGTAACCTGGGCAGCTTGGTACTGCAACCCGGGCAATTTGCCATGGTAACCTGAACCACCGGGCCTGGCACCAGGCAACCTGGGCACCTTGGTGACCTAGCCTGGTAACGCGGGCCTCTTTGTAACCCAGGCAACCTGGCCTGCCGGCAATCTAGGCCGCGCTCATGGGAGCCCACTGGACAGCCTGGCAGGGACGTGGCATCCGGACTCGCTCGTGCCCTTTTAATCCAACGCCCCTGAGGAGGAGAAGGGTCATGGCTTGAACTGGTCCTTGGCGGGGAGCTGCCTGACTGAGGATAATCCAGCAGGGGGTGATGGAGTCCGCCAGGGGCCAGGGCGGGGCTGAGTTGACGGGCCAGGCTGTTGGGATGGCTGGCAGAGCCCTGTACCTTTTTGCTCTCACCCATGACTCTGCACCAGCCACAGCATGACAGGGCCCTTTGTAATAGGGCCTCAGGCCGGGCTACGTACACAGGGTGGCTGTCTCAAGCAGGCAGTGAGTCAGGACTCCTGGGTTCGTCTCCCAGCTTTGGGAGGGCAGTGGGGTCTTGTGGCTAGAACAGGGGGCAGGGGCTGGGCATAGACGCAGGAAGTAGGAGTGCGGGGGGTTGCTGCAGCACCCCCAGGTTTTACGCGGGGCTCCGGCTGCCGGCCCCGCACCTGGGGCTCCACCCCTGCCCCCAGCGGTGTCCCCAGTCTCTGCCCCCTTGCCCGTGTTCCCCCCTCCCAGAGCCACTGCTCTGCTCCTGGTCCCAGCTCCAGGGGGTAGGGGGCAGGTAAAAACGGAGCTTTACGGTTTCATTGGCTTTCAGCACCCCCCCTGTAAAAAGCGTTCCAGTACCCCTGGGGCCGGGAGTCAGGACTCCTGGGTTCTACTCTCAGCTGTGGGCGGGGGGTCCAGTGGTTAGGCAGGTGGGCTGGGAGTCAGGACTCCTGGGTTCCATGCCCAGCTCTCGGAAGGGCGGGTGGGCCTAGTGATTAGAGCAGGGGGGGACTGGGAGCCAGGACTTCTGGGTTCTGCCCCGAGCTGGGGAATGGGGTCTAGTGGTTAGAGTAGGGAGGCTGGGAGCCAGGACACCATGGTGCTAACAGCCAGGGGCTCTGGGCCGGCCTCAGGTGGGGTGAGGGGCTGTGGGGAGCCCACAGGAGAGAAGGTAACAGGCGGTGGATACAATAAGCCGAGCGCTTTCCTCCCCCAAGGCCTAACAGTCGCACGGGGACGCCTGCTGAACTGCGAACAACAACTGTTATGTAGCAGGTGTGACCCAGGCAGCCCCACATGTCCCAGCCTGCCCACTGAACTGTGGCCGCGCTGCTCGGGGCCCCGCCCGAACCGGTTCCTCTACGCGCTGGGCGTGCCGAGGTCATTCAGTTCACAGATCACTGGAGAGTTGCTTTATGCCTTAAGCCCTGACCCTGCACCTGCCCCAGAGAATGGGGCAAGAGGAGGGGCGGGGACACGGGCAACTGCTCAGGAGAATAACAGTTTGAAGTGGGTTGTAGCTTCACACTTAGGATCATGCGATGTGCAATGCACTGTATACACTAATTCAGTCTCACCCCGCCCCGGGAGAGGAATGCTATTCCGTGCACCATGGTAGCTGGCAAGCTGAGGCGTGGACCAGCGTCCTATGGGGCTAGGCACTGGACTTTTTGTATTGCTATTACATGCACTGCGGTAGCATCAAGGTGCCCCAGTACAGAGCCAGCCCCCCCCTCCTTGTGTCAGGTGCTGTACAAAAGATGGACACTGCCCCACACAGCTGACAAAGAAATATGATCCCCATTTTACAGATGGGGAAACTGAGGCAGGCAAGCAATCACTGCGTGTCGCAATAGTACCTCAAGCCCAGGTTCCAGTGTGCTAGGCCCAGCACAAACCCCTAGCGAGAGACAGCTCCGGTCCTGAAGAGCTTCCAGCCTCAATTCACAGACGGTGGGAGAGGAAACAGATGCAGAGAGAAGTGATTCGAAGCCAGTCCCCCAGCAGGGGGACAGCAGAGACAGAAACAGACCCCACATCTCCTGGGCCCTAGTCTGCCACCCTAGCCACTAGGCCGTGCTGCATCTGGGGAGAGACAGGACCATCTCCCCCTCCCTAACCCTTACCTGTAGCGCTATACCTGCTTGTTATCTAGCACCTTCCCCCCCACCTCCAATGAGGAATGTGTTTTCCAGACCTCCCTCCCCAGGGCCTCACTCAACCACCAATGAAATGCTGCCATCTCTGGGGTGGAACGTGATGGCTGTTCTGCACCAGGTATCCCACACCGAACAGCCCATCCCCCGTTCAGGCCGGGATGCCGAGAAGGGCAGAGACGGGCAGTTGACACCGTAACGAGTGAGTAAGAGCTCAGGGTGTTGGGGTCAGATTCTGATCTCCGTTAACACCAGCTGAAACCGGGTGCAAGTCTTTTGATGTCAAGAGGTGGATTTACAGATGGGGGGTGTTTACATTTCGGCCCATTTATTTTTCTGCGACTAAACATCCCACTGGTTAAATCCCAGTTTGGATAATTCTGTGTCCCTAAAATTTTCCCCTTTGGACACCAACCCGGGACTCAGCAAAACCCGGGTGGAATTCCCTGCTCCTTCTGAGTAAGCTTGGGCAAGTCACTGCAGTCCATGCCTCGGTTTCCCCATCTGTGCATGGGGAGAGTAGCACTGGCCTACCTCGTGAGGCTAAACACATTCAAGAATGTGAGTTGCTCCGATAAGGGGGGCCCACACAAGCACCACAGTAAGGCCGGTTAAGCTGTTGTGTGCTGTTAAAAACAGCCACTGCATTCCACCCCAGAGGCAGCTGCATTGCAGTGACCTAAACTGCCAGTGCTTCTGGGGAGAGAGGGGAAGGCCCGAAGTATGAAAACAGCGACAGCTCCTAGACAGGGGGTTGGCAGGGAACATACGTTTAACTGGAACGCAGCGCAGGGGCGGAAAAGAGACGCATCCAAGCTCTGGTGACATGTTATTATAGAACTTTATTATCATTTCTACTGAGCTTTAGAAAACACGGTGGGCGTCAATGATAGAGACAGCCGGTACGTTCCACGGCAAACCCCCAACAGTCTGGGCATCCCTCCTGCCTTCGAAAATGCCACGACCGAACGGGGCAGCCCCGGATTTGCATGTGCCCCAGCTAGGCAGCGGCCTCACCTGATGCCCTTGGGGGCGGGGGGCACTTGATGCCCATCCGATGCCTCCCTGGCTTGGGTGGTCTGCGGGGATCGAACCCAGCACCTCCGGACCTAAAAAAGCACAAGCCTCTACCGTAGCAGCCTGAAAAAATCGCTATACATGACCTAAAGGAAGACAGAGAGCCAGGTGCGTCTGCCCAGTCAACAGCTTTTCCACCTGTCCCTGCTCCGGCCCATGCCTGGCCTCTCTAGGGCCTGGGCGGAGACACTGCATGCAGGGAAGGAACTGGCCTGGTTGGCTCCCACTCAGCCGAGGAAATTCCAGCCAGGGAGGGAGCCGGAACCCGAGCCGATGAGAAATTAAAATCCGCCGGCGCGTGGGGAGGGGTCAATGGTTCCATTGATTGCCGCGTTTGGCTTCGTTTCTGCCCCCTCCCGCCGGAGCTGGGAGATCCTTGGGGCCCGAAGAGGGATCAATGAAGCGTGGATCATATGCCAGCAAACATACCTCGAAAGCAGAAGCCGTTTTATGCCCCCTCCCTCCCCCACAAGTGACCCGGAGGAGAGCTGGCGAGGGTGGGGGATGGAGAGCAGAGGACATCTGGTCTTCCAGGGAGCGGGGAGGGTTGGAAATCAAAAAGCAAAGAGAAGGGCGGGTCGCAGCTGGCGTGGAGAGGCCCAGGTCGCAGCATGGAGCCCGGAGAGGCCAGGGCGCGCTCCGGGCCGTCGGTCCAGGCTGGCGCGCCGGCTCTTAGGAGTACATGGTGAGCTGCAGCCACTGCGGGGCAGAGCGGAAGAGCGGTCAGGAGAGAGCGAGCTGGGCCGGTCAATACGAAACACAGACTGCCCCGGCGGCAGGCGGGCTCGCAGAACCGAGCGGCGGGACAGGATTGGCCCGTTTTTAAGGTGGGGTGGGGGTGGGGGTGCGGGGCTGGGGGAGGGGCCATTCCCCATGGACCCCAGTAGGATTCTCCAGCTTTGCAGGGGCTGCGGGTGCTCCTCACGCCGCTGGGAAGATCCCTGGCCCCTGCTCCGCCCGCCCCGCGGAAGCCGGGCTGGACCCGCTAACCCCGGAGTTCCCGGCCAGCCCTGAGGGGTGAGGCGGGGGAAGAGGGAGGCAGGAACCACATCGGGGTCCCTTGCTAGACAGCAGGAAAGAAAAGGCCGGGGGGCAGCCAGCCTCCCACCTCACTCACCTCCTGGATGTTCACCCGGATCTGCCCGTCCCCGTCCTTATCCAGAGACTTGAAGGCACCTGTAGGAGGAGAGGGGGAAGGGCGGCCTCATGGTTAACACACTGGGCTGGGACTCAGGAGATCTCGGTTATCTGTGAGCGACCCGTGAGCCCTGGGGGGTGGGGGTGGGGGGGTGATAATCCTGCCTCTCTCCCCCTCCCCACTTGTCTATCTAGGCTGTCTAAATCCGGGGCAGGGACCATCACTCAGCACGTGTCTGCAGATCTTTATCCTCTGCTCATGGAGATAGAACCCAGGAGTCCTGGCTCCCAGCCACCCTCCCCCACAGTCACTCTAACCAGTACATCCCACTCCCCTCCTAGAGCTGGGAATAGAACCCAGGAGTCCTGGCTCCTAGCCCTTCCCCCCCCACTCAAACCATTAGTCCCCACTCCCCTCCTAGAGCTGGGAATAGAACCCAGGAGTCCTGGCTCCCAGCCCGTCCCCCACCCCACTCTAACCATTAGCCCCCACTCCCCTCCTAGAGCTGGGGATAGAACTCAGGAGTCCTGACCTCCATCCCTGTGCTCAGATCACGAACGAGCCACCCTCTCTCCAAGGCAAATGCCCCCTTCCAGACAAAGGCCCGTGACCCACCCCCCTGAAGTCACAACCCACAGGTCCAGAACCAGGAGGTTCCCCTGAATTGGTTAGGATTAACCCCTCGGTTTCCGGCTGGAGCGCCTAGTCACGGACAGAAATCCGTTTTGCCAGAGGCCAGGGCGGAGGGGTCGAGATGAGAGAGAAACCAGTTCGGGTGGCATCATCCACCGTTGCTGTTATTTTTTTGTATTATTTCTTGAATTAGCAGAATGGGCCAGGCGATGTCTATTTTAGTGCTATTAGGTGTATTACGGTAGCACCTAGGGGCTCGCGTCATGGACCAGGCCCCCATTGTGCCAGGCGCTGTACACACATGGAGCAAAACCCAGATGGGCGGGGCCCAGCTCACACTAGAGGCAGGGGTGGGAGGGGCGGATGGAGGGGAGGGGGGGGGCAGAGGACCCCAGAACCCGCCCCCCCGCCCATCCCCAGGACCGACCCGCAGGCCACTTACGAAACATGGCGTCCAGGC